AAACTACAGTATAGGAAGGCGTGCACTTGTGATATTCACTGTCTGAATCCAATTCACCTTGGTTGGCTTTTATATGAGGGTACATTGCTGTTTTATTCTTTATATTTAACTTTAGTCTTATTTCGGTGGATGTGCAGAGCGTCATATTTTGATGAAATGTATATTTTTAAACTTAAAAAAATAATGTAATTGAAACAGATTAGCTATTTTGAGGATTAGACATCGTATATACTAAGAATTACATTCGTTTTTGGATTGTTTGGTTTTGAGGACTGGTACATATAGTCAAGTTGCAAAATTGCGTATGTCCCCTAGTCATACCCACATTTCTGGTAAGTCCAGTGCGCCATTATGACGTCACATGACTGCGTCATACAAATTAACTTGAATCCGGCTACGATCAAAAAATTAAACTATGGCAAATTATTGACTCCCAATGGGCATAGCAATATCATTAGGAAGTTTTTTACGTTTTACTCAAAACCGCTAAAAATGGCTTACGCAATTCGGTTATTATCGTGACGTTATGTAGGCTTACTCGCTGAACAACAAAAGTGTGGCTGAGTAAACAATAAATATAAATAGGCCGACCCAAAGCATGTCATATGTCGGGCTTAGTTGAACATGAAATATTAATTATGCGTTAAGTTATATTACAGTGGCGGCGCGTCAATAGGGTTTTTCGGTAAAATAAAAAATATTCGAAAAATACCTCAATATCGGTTGCACAGGCTGTCTACACTAGCCATATTCTCCCGACATGGTTCATTTTTCGCTCGCAAAGCCTTCGTCGAACGTCGTCGGGGCGACGCCGATTTTGCCCCGGTTGCTCATTGTATATCGTATTCTCTCTTTTATCTTCCACTCGCCGCGTTTGTCTCGTTTGTTTTCTGTTTCTTTTACTAAATCATCGGGGGCTAGCCCCGAAATTATGACGACACAATGCCGACGTTTCTTACAACAACGTGTTGACATATTCACGCCTTCCTTCTCGTTCGTTGGTTGCTTGAAGAGTTGATAGTTTCCTCGCCTTCGTTTTTGTCGCTTGTTTCGCTATTTGAATCAGTTAGAGACCTTTAGTCCATTTGCTTTCGATTTTCCACATTCCTTTTGAGTTCCTCACTTCTTTCCGGCTTCGCATTTCTTAGCCTAGACCTCATAATGAATAAGGTTGATGCACTACTTCGCACTCCGTTTTCGCAGCTGCCGCTGGAACAAAAATTAGAGGTACAACGTCTTGGGCCTTATCAACCAAAAAATTGTTCACTGGAACAATCCCATGACGGAGGAAAGCGTCCGCGTACATTCTGCGCAGAAACTTCGTATAAAAAACACGAATGGTTGTGTTACAGCGAGGACAAAAATGCACTTTTTTGTTTTTATTGCCTACTTTTTGCTACCGCCCGTGACTCACGTTGGTGTAAATTTGGTTTTAGAGCTCTTAAACATCTTTCCGAGCGTGCCAGGGATCATCAATCTTCTATGAAGCATCTGAACAATGCAGTAAAATATCGAACATTCGGAAATGTTAATATTGCAGCACAGCTGGATGAAGGACGCGCGGTTTCTATTCGTCGGCACAACCAAAACGTCGAGAAAAACCACCATGTTCTCGGTCGATTGATAGATGTTTTGAAGTTCATTGGTTGTCACGAGCTGTCCCTCCGTGGGCACGATGAACGGGCTGGCTCTTCTAATAGAGGGGTATTTTTGTATATGGTGGAATACACCGCGTCCCTAGATACAGTATTGAGAGATCATCTTGATGCCGCAACTGTTTCGAAAGGGACATCTAAGGATATCCAAAATGATTTGCTCGACTCAATAGTTAAAATTTATTTACAACATTTGGCTCTGGAAATTGAGAATTGCCAGTTCCTTTCGATTCAGTCTGACGAGACAACTGACATCACGTGCGTTTCCCAACTGGCTGTGATTTTTCGGTTTGTGAAAGATGGTAAACCTACAGAGAGATTTCACAGCTTTGTACCAATCGTTGATCGCACGGCTTGCGGGATATCGGCTGTACTGAAAGAAGTGTTACAGCCTTACAACGCGAAGTCAAAATTGATAGCTCAAACTTATGACGGCGCGGCAGTCATAAGTGGGTCGAAACATGGTGTTCAAGTTTATATAAAAGAAGATTTTCCTCATGCGCATTTTTTAAATTGTTATGCACACCAATTTAACCTCGTTATTAAAAATATGTGTCTTGATACCCCTCTCGTCCGTATATTTTTTGCAAATGTTTCGGGGTTTTCTTCATTTTTTTCCGTTTCGCCGAAGCGCTCTGACCTCCTTCGCCAGATATGTAGCCGCTGTCTCCCAGCTTGTGCACCAACACGTTGGAACTTCCAATCACGCGTGGTGTAGGGCGTGTCCGAAATTGGGTCTGAGCTCATTGAGTGTTTCAATGGCATTCAGAGCTCTCAGGTTTGGGACGAACGCTCTGTGAGGGAGGCGGCAGGTCTAAAGCGTCTGCTAGAAGATGGTGAGATTTCATTTTTTCTCGCTTTTTTCTCCACAATATTCTATCTCGTGGATGTATTATACGCAGCGTTTGATTTTGTCTGCAAAGGAATGCTGTGACATTCTGGTGAATCAAATAGGCGATCGTCTGCGCACTGAACACTTTGCCGCGTTCTCTTTGATGAACCCCAAAAATTTTTCAAAATTTGCACGTCAATTTCCCATCCATTTGTTGGCTACTGTCTGCAAATTTTACCCCATGATAAACGTGGGTAAATTGGAAAATGAATTGCGATGTATATACACCAATCAAACTTTTTTGACCATCACATCAACTTGCGCGCTCTATGGGTTCCTCATAGATAACACTCTAGTAACTACCTTTGCGGCGTCTGCAAAATTTCTGGACATCATTTTGACGACGCCTATTTCTTCCGCCAACGCAGAGCGAACATTCAGCACGCTGAAGCGTATTAAAACGTATCTCAGAAACACAATGAAGCAAGATAGATTAAATTCCCTGGCTGTTTTATCCATTCACAGAGACGTTATTTCAGGGTTGCATGACTTTAATCAGCGCGTTATTGAGCATTTTGCTTCCAAGAAACCGCGGCGTGTTGCATATATGTTCAAGCAGTAGAAGTCTAGCAGCATATATATCTATGAGTGAGCGACGCATGTCCTTATCTTTGCATTACCTTTCCTTCCTTCATAGTAACGTTTTAAACCTTATTTTAGGTTTTGTCTGCTTTCCCGAAGTCTCTGTTAATATGTCATTGTATTTATCTGGGTAAATATTGCCTTTTCTTTTGAAAGAGGTTTCAAAATAAACTATGTCTATATTTAATAATCGCTTGACTTGGACCGGTTTTAAAGACACTTTCTTATCGTTAAAAATTGTCGCTTTTGCCGATTGGTTGTTACCGAATGGTTTTTATACTCATAAAATGATGGGAGAACTTACAGCGCTCATCCTGTCCCCGTAGATGGGGGTGACTTGTTCCCGCAGTAGCTTGCCCCGGTTGTCAAAATGAAAATATATATATACAGTGGTGGGATTCAGCCGGTTTGCACCGGTTCTATAGAACCGGCTCAAGGAATTTTATGAGATCAGCGAACCGGTTAGCTTTACTGATTACTGTCAATGTTCTGTTTGTAACAGAACCGGCTCAAAAATATGACTTTTGTGATGGAACCGACTGACAAAAAATTTGAATCCACTGTATATATATATATATAGTCACTGTATAGAATTCGGAAACATAATGTTATGTGACGCATCGTTTCGCACTTGCTTAATTGAAGTCGGATGCGCCGTGAATAGCCGGCAATTGTCTACAGATGACTCCGCATCATATATTGACATGGAAAACTAGAATCTCGCTGTCATCACCCGAAATTTTCCAGAAAGCAGATTAGTGCGGCTTTCGAGTTCAATATCTGGTCAATAAATTTGAACATAGATAGGTGTAAACCAAGGTGATAACGTCCAGATTCATATACATATGTCAGTTTTGAAAACGTTGTGCATTCATGTGATGCTGATATATCGTGAAATACCAATAAAATGATAATGTTTGTTATAGGCTAAGCAAGTCTATTTTGTAATAACTTGAATTCAAGACCAATTAGGAAGCCCTAAGGTGTAAGATGGCCAATGGAGATGCAAATTACGTGCATACGTGTCAATTGAAGTCGACGATGATAGTAACCAACTGTGTTGGTGGAGATGTGAATTTTCTGCTTTATATTATATTTTACCAGGTTTTATCAAGTATTTAGGCGCGAATCCACTCTGGCCAGTTTATAACATATTAATTACGTCCATAATAATCAGATTTCGAAACTTTTTTTGCGAGTTCGAGTGCAAACACGCGAGGGTCTTCAAGCTGACATGAATTGCAGCGCCAAACCTTTTGTATGACGCTGTAGGCCATTATCCACCCGACTTCCGTGACAATCACCGATCCTCGTTCCGTGAATATTGAGTCAGTTTAGTCATATTGATATTCCACAACACGTTTCTGCGTGAACGCTGGTGGTTACTTCCTAAATAAACCTCCAATATTAGTATGCATGACGGGACAGATAAAATCCAAAACAGCGTTGCTGGCAGACATTTTTAAAAATTAAGAAAGAGCGTCTCAATCAAAACTATGAGAAGCCATTATGTACTTGGTACCAATAAGAAAGAAATGATATTGGAGACGGTATATTGCAATCCACATGGCACGGCAAATAGCATTATTCTTGTATTGTCATGAAGACTGGTAGCGCCTCTAACGAAAAAAGAATTCAACCTCTATCAATAAGAACCCGGCTGCACCCACCAAGACATACGAAAATACTAAGGGTATACTGTAATTATGTTATCACTCGAGCGCTTACATTTTCCAGGTCAATAAACAAACAATACCAGTGGTCACCACTACCAGTACTCCCCAGCTGATTGCTGAAGTTCAACTTAATCGACTGAAGTTCAACCTAATCTAACACAACAGATGTTACATCAATTAAATTACGATCGAAAATGAAGAAAGTATCTTGATTTATTCATGTCATGATCGATGGCAAGATATGATTGAGAAACAAGAAAAGGCAGTAAAAAAATATGAAATGGCAGATTACATGCCAGCAAAACATGAAGATAATCGTAATGGCAGTTTGTTCTGGTGTGTACGACTATGGTAAGATATAGGATAAAGAATATGTGCTAGTCCACACATTCGAAAATCGAAACACAGCCGCCCGATTCTAAGGACCATATTCGTCAGAAGGATCGTTCAGGCGCAGAACTTAGGTTTGGAATTTCAGATACTTTTTGATAACGCATTAGCAATAAAACATACAAAAGTATACAATAGTAACATTTCACCCAGTTTCATTAAGCGGGTGTGAAGATAGAGCCTAATGTCTAATCTAAGTAACTCATTTCATCCCAGTTCGCCAATCAGCACTGCCTGATCTCTCAGTTTCCGGTTTTCCTATTTTTTTCATTGTGATGCAGACAAAAGCTGACCACGGTATTCAAGGTAAACTTGCTCAGAGACTGTACTAAATGACCTATGGCCGTGCCTAATGCAATCTCTGATTCAGTATAGCATCAGGACTCCCAGAATCATCAATCTCTTCTCCCTTCCAATGTTCTTCATTGGAATCTGCATTACTAACTAATGTAGGAGCTTCATATAGAGCAAATTTATCTCTTTGCATGATGGCACCTCTTTTTTTTCTGATTCTTCCCACAATTAAAAAATTGGAAGGAGAACAACTTTTTGCATGGGTTATCTATAGGTGCTGCTTACAGCATTCACTTATGCAAAGTTGTCAATTCACTTTCCCTGTTCCAAATTTGTTATCCATTCAGGAGTATCCAATACCTCATCGGATATAGGTTTTTCACTTTGAGAATAGATTCCACCACCATTCAACTGAACTTCATTTTCATCCAATTCGAGTTTTAAACCTATTCCACATTTATTATCTGTTATAGGTTTAGACATGCACAAATTGCTTTTGTCAAAATACAATGCGACAGTTCCCAATTCCCCATCATATCTGTTCTTTACCAGCTCTATGTAGCTGAAAATATTGAGAAAGTTAAAAACATTCTGGAACATATGAGCAGCCCAAGCAGGTTTGTAATAACTTATTTATCCATATCAGACCAGAAAGGGGATAATTAGAAATGGTAATAGTTTAATTTTTTTTTTATACATACTCAGCACCTGGGCTAATTTTGTTCAACAAAGAAAGCATGATTTTTAATGAACAATGTCCCAAATCTCAAAATATTTTCTCTACAGGCTGAAAGTTTTTTTCTAAAAAAAGATTAAACATTCCTACCTTTTCTTGTAAGCATTTCCATCTTTGACAGATCTTACTTGTTGAAGAATCAGAACATTGTCAGCCTCTTGTGTAGCCTTTGCTGTTCCAAATATTGATGAAATTTGCAAAGGAATGCTGGGATCTTCCTTGCGAGGATGAATGACTAAAGTTACCTGAAAAATAGTGTGTAAGGCACTATCAATAACACCCAATGAGACATTACGCTCTTCTTAGAAAATCCACCTTCACTAGCTCATGCTCGGTCCCTTCTCGATTAATTGAGAGATTATTGTGGCTAGAAATGTTGAACAGCAATCCGATATAAATCAGTTTTTCTCACATGAGCGAAGTTTCCAGCATTATCGGTTTTACAATTTCACAAAATATATAATTCCACGGATGCGGGTCTCGATATTTGCCTATCTGCCAGAATGCTCAAAGCACCAATTAGTTAACTGACATAATAGCACAACACAATAAAACAAAACTTCTCATCTACTGATAGCAGATAGCACTGTAACTTACATGAATATGTTCAGTAGTAGCAAAGTTACGGAATTCACTGATGAGCATGTCTTGTACCATAAATCTATCATTATTTTTCTGCATCGCTCCCATCATAAATTGAAGATTGTCAATAACTATATGTTGAATGTCATGAACATAAGCTGCCTGAAAATTTGAGAATTACATGCAACTATGAGTACTGATATCTCAACTAGGCGAAGATGATAAAATACTAGTCTTAAATATGATAGTACCATCATTTGCTCAGAAACAACATCAGAAGTTTGAATACAGTGAATTGTCAGACTCACGGCAACATGGCCCATTTAATCTACCGTATGACCAGATAATGCAAGTGGTCATGGTTAGTCTCAAAATTGAGTCCAGTAAACTCCTTAACTCTACAACAGCTTATGAAGCAGCAAAAAATTCCCAGAATCATATGGTTTTTAATTATATGGGACTTTATGGGCAACGTAGTTCCTAATTGAGCAAATTTTAAGTAAGTCTCAAGATGACACCAACGGTTAGAATCTGAAACCAATTGATTATGGGCTACTAAGGTATAACATAAGGATTGTTTCTCACCTAAGGAGCACTGCAAGAAATCATTTCAAATATAGATGACATAACCTACCATTGCAAAAATTCATGGCTCTATAAAAATAGCGCTATTAATAGCGAATATTTCAATATTATGTTTTTGTTCAGCAAACTGATCAAGCCCAACTCAATTAATATTTAGGATTCCCACCTGGCGCATTGTATGGATGACATCTTTCATACTTTGAGGACCGTTATATGTCATCAGATGAATTGGTACAGATTGAAATTTATCACTGATATGCTCAAAATCAGACATTTCATTTTCCAGTTTCCTTCTTGCGAATTGTTTCATCATAGTTTTCAAAAGTCTGAAACAACCTAATTTATTAGTGTTGCCAGAAATTGTAATATTTTGTTGAAATTTGAACCATGATTTTAATTGAGTTTCATGTTTGATAAATTCATTTATCTGTAAATCGATTTAATTCTCTTGTCGTTTCCACAACAGCCTAGATTAGTGGTTTTCAACCAGCGTTTTGTTTTGCCAGTATTGGGTTTGCTTTTCTTCAATGTTTAGTGCGTGTCAGTCAAAAACTCGACCCGATCTCATAAGAGTTGCACAAGAAACACCAGGCTTAATTAAGTTTCTCATTATTTTTTTTTATGAGAATAAATGTAATTTCTTTTCTGTTCATATCATATATAATATAAACACAGATATTTTGATATTATTTATCAAATGATGTGTTTCTCCCAGAAGACAATTAAATCTTGCACAGGAGTTTCTTGATCTCCAGGAATGTTTCATTGAGGTTCTGAACCACCAAAAAGAGTATCGAAGCAAAAACTAATTTCCTGTTCCGCTAGGACACATGAGATAAAACATTTCATAACTGAATAAATTACCTCACATTCTGTACTTCAAAACTCCCCCATAAAGTTGAAACTCCTTGCATAGCAAGATCCAAAGAATATTCACTCATAAATGTGGTTTTCCCACTTCCTGTAGGCCCAGTAATCACGGTCAATTCACCTCTTCTATGACCTTTCAACTTTTCTGTTAACTTTGTAAATCGGGTCCATGGTACACCACATACAGTGTCTAGAAATTAGGCAATCATTATTGAATAGATTTAATCATCGATATATAATACAAAGTTCACTTCCGAACGATAGACAATCAGGAAATCATTAAATGTCTCATCAAATACATCCATAATTCAAAGATCAGATTACAATATTAAACAACAATTGAAACAAACAACGTTATCTCTGTTCAGGCGCGCAGCCAGGATTTTCAAGAGGGGGGGGGGGGGGGGGTTCATAATCATAAATTACCATGGCGGTCTGTAACAGTCTTCGCATTACGCGCTCGTTAAAAGGACGTCTTTTCAGCGTATAATGATTATTCTTGTCGCGTAAAATATTCAATCCCTGACAACTACAAAATTCTAAAATGTCGTTATATATTAATTTAATTGTGTCCAACGTAACTCGCGGTTGCTTCTTCTTACGTCAAAATTAAAACATTAGTTCTCTGAAATGCCACGGCGATCGGTGGACATAAAAATATGAGATAAACGGTGTATTTAATTTTAATACGTGTTTTTGGAATCTTGCCAACTCCTTATCGCCGTTAGAAAAATCTCAATAACTGATATAAAAATCCGAAAAGAAAAATTTTATTTGGTACAATGAAATGAAAATGCATATGAAGTATATCGTTAAATCAAAAATACATATTCATCGCCGCGATTACGCCACTTGCTGACACTCCGATTATTTTTAAAGATAAAACCTCCTGAAAAATACGTAAATCTGCTGTAAATTCTCATGGAGTAAAATTTATTTCAATACAATAAAAATTGATGGATATACTTCGGATTAATTATCTTATATACCATCACAAACCGGGAAAAAAATCGCGTTTTCAACCTTGTTTAATGATAACACGAAAATTTTCTACGACAATTTTAAAGTAATGGATAAAAGGCAAATCCCACCCACAATTAACCGTGTTTCGATTTTAGTGACGGTATGTTCCTAAACGACGACCAAACATAATGTGCGCCGTAGGCACACTAAATTTTGCGATTTTGCGACTAGAAAAGCGTTTTCAGACTGTCGCGGGACTCAACAAAACTTATATTGTTTACGGTTTTATTTTCGGTATTTTATAATGCCGCTTTTCAATCAAATTTAGATCGCGGTTTTACTCCTCCTTTTGTCTTTAGAACCTCGCCACCGATGAACATATAATAACTGGCGAATTCACAATTCCGTGCAAAGTACAAATATAAAATAATTATCATGTTTATCGTGGCACAAATTTATGATTTAGAAAGAATAAAAACCCACGTAAGGGCGTTTACGGCCTAAATAACACGCTGATGAAAACATGGGCGATTTTAGCAGAAGGCAATTGCACGCTTTTTCAGTTTTCACATTTTCGTGCGAGTACAAAAATAAAATAATTATCATTGTTCCCGCGGCACAAATTTGTGATTTAAAGAGAATAAACACCAATATAAAGGGCATTCACGGCATAAATAACACGCCGCGTTGATGAAAACGAACGGCGATTTTAGCAGAAGGCAATTGCACGTGTTATCGGCAACTTTTTCACTTTTCAGAAAATTCAAAAAGGGGGGGGTTTCGACCCCGACCCCCCCCCCCCCCCCCTGGCTGCGCCACTGTCTCTGTTAATATTTCTAATAATTATAGCAGGAATGCAAGCGTGGACATGTCACGGTGAAATGGGGGGATGCTTATTTAAACACAATGCGTTCTCCCACAACAGAAAATTATTTTTGTTTCAACATGAGATAGTCGCTGGCTTCCTGTGTGAACAATTGAATCTGAACAATTGAATCGGTTAGGCTGCTAGGTAGACTAGTGCTTTTTTACAACAATGTATACAAAAGCGTTATTAGCATACATTTCATATTCCACATCAAGACATGTGAATGTTTATTAAGGGGTATTCATAAAATTATAACAAAAATTATTTTACCACACAAATCATAAAAATACCACAAGCAACTAATGTTAATGTTTAAATCTTCTCGCCCACCGACTATAAGTGCAATGTGTAATACACCAATATTTTCTATTTTTGCGATTACCTATAATTATGGGGATCACACTAGTGTTGGAAAGGAAAAGGCAATCAACTCATATATAGCCTACTTCATTATCATATATGGTTGATTAGATTAATTAGACCCCCTTTTTTAGTCAAGAATCTATCCACTCCAATGAAGTACCACCATATTTTGCAATCTCATCCCATCTACCAACTTACCACAGTTCATCAGCTCATCTTTCACAAAACCACGAAGGTCGATGAATGATACTATATTCTTTATTTCAGCTGACACTGCTGAAGATATAATTCCATCTAAATCCAAATTTTTCGACAAAGCCTGAAGAGGATTTGGCGTACCAGCGGTGGGTCTCACTATACGGCACCTAAAAAATATTCAATTTAACCGAATTTCAAGCAAAAAAACATTTGCTGTATAACAGTCTTCATTCAACATATAGAGTTACTGATGCATTGTTCATCTATATCTCAGTTCAATGGCAACGCATTAATATACAAACTTGAAGTAGCATAAGTTAATATATAAATAAATTTCCATTTGATAAAAGCATTAACAAATTTCCATTTGATAATAGCATTAACAAATCATACCTATTTTCACCCAATTTCTTTGAAAATTGTCGTCCAGCTTCCCAAGAAACTTGGTTGTTATTGAACCAAATGATGATTTCTGAAAATTGCTCCAAATATGGCAAAACTTGCAAAGGCAGGTAAGTGTTGCCCGATGGTAATGAAATGGCTTTATATTGTGTGCTTGCAAAGTTTACTGCAATTGCATCAAACTCGTTCATTGTCAGCACAATTTTTTTCGAATTTACTGGAACTTGTTCTATACCGAGCATGTTATAGTATCCTTTTCTTGGAAGACGAGATACTTCACATGGTTCGCTTCCGTTGGACAAAGAAAATGTTTTTAAACCAATAGGTGTCCCTCTTGATTCTTGCTTTGAATTTCGTGTCGAAATCAAGTTTGAGAACCACGGAACAATAACAGTATCCAAATTTTTGTTAAATCTTATATCATAAGACTCTAAATCACTCAATGTTATGACATCTAATCCAAATTTACATAAAGTTTCTTCACATGTTAAATCAGCACATTCAGACAGAGAAACCGAATCTTCCCATATTTTCTTTAGTCCTTCTGAATCACTTATTTCTTCACTAGACTTGGTGTCAAAGTCTAAACTAGACCTAGTAAGCAGCGGATTCTTCATATAGTCACGGAAGTCATTCCATGAACCACTATGACCTGAATCAACACAGAAAAAATCTCCAGTTGTTTTATTTATGAATAGAGTCTGATTCGATGTTGCACTTTTTCTTGGTCTGCCGATAACTTTCGGCTTTGGAAAAACATTTTCACATTTGAAGCATGTTGGTCCCGATTGTGCATTGAGATTCTTAGTTTGTAAAAAAGATCGTATCTCTTGAGCCAAAGGTGCACTGGTTGTATTTGCACTATTGTTTATGTTTGATCGATATGCTTGAAAATAATTTAGCGATTTATTTGTAGATGCATTTAGACTGTGTGTACTGCAAATAGATCTCATACAAATCCCAGAAATTGTTTGAAGATTAGTCATTGATGACAATATCCAAGCACTGCCTGAAACTTTCTGATAAATCATTTTTCCACACAAGCCTGAAGAAGATGAGGTATATAGGCACACCAGCAGCTGGAATAATTATATAATATCCCAAAAATATTATTTTATCAGTCAATAGAATCACTATTGCTATCACTAAAATTAAGTTATTCATCAATAAATTTTATTTTGGCTGCTCTGGCATAAAACAGTATGACAACAGACAGACAAAACCTGCAGTTACCTCGAAGTCGGGCATTACTTGAGATAAAATTAAAAACGTACAAGTAGGCTATGCACCCGTCCATCAACAGCAGTTAAATCACACAGTATAATAGAATTATTGAATTGTGTCACAATATCCAACAGTGATATTAATATAATCGGACCTCCTGAAGTATGCGCACCAAGATGGCGCACAACCTGGATTCAGGTTGTGTACCAGGTTAGGGTTTAGGTTATGCGACATCTCGGTGTGCATACTTCAGGAGTACCAATATATCACATAAACAGGACATAAGGCCGTGGTTCGCCATATGGTTAAGCCATACTATTGGCAGCTTTCCTCAACCCCTGGGATAAATATGTAAGTCTTAAAAAAATAAAAATAAGTTATACATGGAATATAAAATAAAAATTTTTCATCTGGAATATCATAATTTTCATTCTAACACACTGAACATACATTTTTTGTAATACCTATGTTATTTCAGTGTAAATAAATTTTAAGATAATGGAGATGAGACTATATAGGCTATATATATATATACTCACCACATCAGATGCAGTACAGAATATCCTAAAACCAGGCTAAAAAAATATCAATGCTATCATCTCTTAATACTGTAATAATTATTCTTTTATAAACTCCTTCATAACTCTTATTGATCCTATCATCACAAATTTGAACATAGTTCGACTGATAGCTACAGGAGTTGTGACTCTTCTAAGGCCCATGGGCCGGAGCCACGTCCCATCTAATTTGGCCACATGGGCCGTGGCCCATCAAGCTATGGGCCGCGGCCCCATCAGGAAAAATTCAATTATCTTACCAAAATTTTCAATTTTACAAAATTGTCTATATTCGACCGAAAAAAATTGCGAGATGCCACCAAATTTTTTTCTTACGATAAGCCTTTATATAAAAATAAAGCAAAATACCAAGCAACAGAAAAAAATACTCCTGTAGTATGTGTACCAGGTTAGGGTTAGGACAAAATTTTGTTCAGATTTTTCACATTATAGTCCTATTAACACTAACAGTATTAGGAGTTCGGGGACTGACTGCAGGACTGTGCTAGCCAAGTGAATAGTTCCTTTACACAACTTGATGGGCCGCGACCCATAGCCTGATGGGCCGAGGCCCAATTCGATGGGCCGTAGAGGAGTCACCACTTCCACTCACTGGTAGGTTTCCAATTCTCGAAATTGTACCGTACCGGTATGCCATTTCCTAAATCTGTAAATGCAGAAATGCCGTCCTTTGCCAAAGTCAGACAGGAGATAATTGGATTTACTTATTTAGGTTCAACCTCTTGTGTAAAAATACTACACTGTGCGTAATTTAGTCATTTCCAACGAGATTTTATATATTATCAATGGAAAAATGAATGCAGATAATCTTCTATCATACCGGTATCACTCCGTTACAAAATTCAAAGTTTACATGTGCGACAAAAATCAAAACAATAAAGGTCAAAGGTTGTTGAAAATAAATCGGTAAAAAAAATTTGTCACTCATATCCACTTAATGCCGGAATTATGATCCGCTGAGAGAAAAAAATCGCCGCTTCGGTTATTTGCTAATTCAAGGCCGTAGAATACGAATTTAAACTTATTTTTTTTATTTTACCCCCCATTTGGGAGAAAAAATTTTGTCACGAAATCGATACACTCGTCCACGTGATGAATTTATTGTGTCAATACTCACACGTATTGCGACTGATACGAATGGAAATATAACAAATTCAATTCAAAATAAACGAAATCGGACAACAGAAAATGTTCAGTGGACCGTACTGTTGGTCATTAACCCTTTCCATGCGATTTTTATTTTTTATTAAATAATCGTATTTGCTACGCCGACTTTATGCATTTGTACCCCCACAACTAATCGATCGACTAACGAAAAAGTAATGATCCTCTGCTGCCCACTGACGGCTCGTTGAAAAGCCTATTTAAAGAGCTTGCAATTGGCAATTAAAAAAAAATATTTTTTTTAAAAGGGGTGGTCTGAGTCACAAACCGGATAGAAAAAAGGCATTATTTTTCTTGGGTGTTGAAACTTCAAACCGTAATAAAAAATAGAAATATTCGCTAAATCCTTTACTGTTACCGCTTCTTGGTTGGCAAACAATAGCATAATATTGCTGTAGCAATTTCGCTATCTAACTCAAAATACTTTGGTAGATGGAAGGGATAATATGTCTTCTATTACCACCCAAAAAACACCGAAATTTGCATAAATTTGAAAAACACTCCCTCATTCCACCGCAAATAAAATTCCCACGGTAAACGAAAGCCAGATTTATCGTCGCTTATGTTAATCTCGAAGAAGACTTCTTATCAATAAACTGAAACCCGGAAAAACTAGACCAACAGTTTGCGACCGATTGCTAAATAAAACAGTGGAGTACATCAACGTACCCGCCGCAATCTAGCGAGTTTTGTCGTGGGTACGTATACGTGCCCACCGCACGGAAAGGGTTAATATTCGCCATGGTACCACGCAAAGCAATTTTTGGCTTTGTTTAAGCATAAATATACTCCACATTTGGTACATCTGATTACCGGCTTGCTATCACACCCAGGGAAACGACATCGCTGTCTCTTAGCTTCTACCACAGGCCAATGGCCAGTGGCGTCGGTTCTAACCTCATTGTTGGGATGTGGAGTAGCTATTCTTCTGATTCGTGGTGGGGTAGTAGACAATGGCCTGCCTCGCTTAAGCAGAGTCGATATTTTCCCAAGCTTGCAAAGAGATTCTGCCACCGAACTTCGGAACGATAAAAGATCTCGCTGCTTGTTACTCGCAACTCCCAGGGACTCACAATCTCTTCTGTATAGGATCCAGCTGTTTACAATAGCCAAATCAACCAGGTGGAAGAAGATCCTCAGGTAGTACTTTTTTGACCGAATGCGTATTCTATAGTAGGCTATAAGCGCATCTAACAAGTCTACGCCTCCCATGCTACGGTTATAAAAATCTACCATAAAAGGACGAGTCACCATTATGTGCTGTTTCGTGACGTTGTCCCATCTTCGGACTTCTGATGTGGGCATGGCGCTGGCAAAAGAACTGGCAATAGTTACACTTCGTTTATCATACCACTTCACAACTCTTATTTCAGTGTCCTCAACACATGACGTCTTTTCCTGATAACATCCCCGTCCTCTATTTTTCAAATCTTTGTCAGATTCCAGCTCGCATCCCAATAACCGATTTTGTCTCGCCGTCCCTATACAATAGATCTTCCTTTTGGCGAGAACGGACATCAAAGGTATGGACGTAAACCAATTGTCAAAACAGAGTATGTGATTTACATCATTCTCCACATTATCGGTCAGTTTGATGACTATGTTAGCACTAGCTCCGAGATCAGGGTAACCAGAAACAGGATGTATCTTTCCTGTATATATTTCAAAGTTGTGTACCAAACCATCTGTTCCACACAACATAAAGATTTTATACCCCCATTTGTGGGGCTTTTTGGGAAGATATTGTTTCAGCCCTGACCTCCCAGTAAACGGAACCATCTGCTCGTCGATACATAAAACTTGCTCTTGATGCAGTGGTTTGAATTTTGCTTTAAGCATTTCTAACGGGGGTCTGATTTTAAACAATCGATCTTGTTGAACATCAGAATCGCCATGAAGTAAATCGTTGTTATTGAAATGGAGCATCTTTTTTATTCTTTCCCATCGATCACGGGTCATTACATCGGCAACGCAGTTAACCTTTGTTTCCACAGCCCAAAACATACGTGTTCTCGGTAGACGAAAAATAGACATGTAAACGACACAACCAAGAAACTTCTCCATTTCTGGAATTGTAAGGTTTAGTTGTTTGGAGGGATCGCTTTGGCTCGCATAGATATTGGTTTCCGCAACTATTTGGTGCATTACATCCGAGTCAAAAAAATATTTGAAATATTCAATTGGTGCTCGCACTGTTTCCGATTCATACTCACGGCCTTTCCATGCAGGCAGCTCTCGTGCTGATTCTGGGTCACTTTCCTGTACAATCCTCCATACGGGCTTCCTACGTGGGATATTGATTCCAATACACACCTCGACTTCAACCACGGAAGAAACTGACATCTCGCCTGACCCTCTTGCTTCCTGATCACTTTCTCCTCCCTGGTCAATGGATATATCCTGACTAGCAGCTTCGTCATCTGAACTTTCTGACAACAAGGCATAGTCTCTAATCTTTTTCGGTGGTACATATTCATCTTCGCTACTGCTGCAGTCACTGTCTTCGCTAACATCCCCACTAGGTGGAAAGCGGATTCTCCAATTCTCCTTCTCATCCATTTTTCATTATTTGAATAAATTACTTCTACCACTAAACAATTTGAAGAAATTCCTGCATATTACTTTAGCCAGTCAATATCAGAAGCAAATCTTGATCAAAATATTATCATTACTTTAGGCTTTAGCCAGTCAATATCAGAAGCAAAACTTGATCAAAATATTATCAGGTTTAGAGGGAAAGACATTATTTTAACTAATTAAACATCACTATATATAAATTTCGATAACAGAGTTACACATACTTAAAACATATTAGATTATGTTCCTATTTCTGCTCTTCAATTTCAAGTGTCTTGGTTTATGAAAGACAACTTAAACTGCAAAACATGGACGGATGGGACGATTTAGTGACAGTTGGGAAAACTGGCGTCAGCAGTAAACAACTAATTGTTAGGCAAAACTCTTTTTACCAAATGAAAGTACACATAACGGCCTCTTACTGTGATTTTTTTCGACTCTCTGGGGTAAAGCTTTATACCCCAAAAAAGACGACGAAATCCGACTGCTACCGACATCACATTTCAACCGACATCAATGTAAACAAAGATGGCTGACCACAAAATATGAAACATTTGGTGGCGCTAAATAGGCTCAAACGAGAGAGTGGGTACAGACGATTTCGGGACAATCGCCGCTTTCTCTCTAGCTATCCTGGTTCGTACTATGGGGTGCAATAAAGTCAATGTCCCGAAAACGACCCCGTCGTCGTTAAGTGGATATTATTAGATAGGATCGGTATGTTAGTCGTTGAATAAGATAGAATAGATATTTTATTTTCAAACTCCATAATACACACAAATAAAAAACAGAGAATTCTGGAGAGCGAGCAAAACTCTGGAAAAGCTGGCATCAGTAGGCACTACCTACAGCTGTGAAGTCATTGGAGATTGGAGTATTTGGTTGTATTAAGATATTTATGCCCGTCCCGATTAAATTATAATCGGGACGTGTAGAATTCCTAGGATAAAAATAGCCTTCTGGCGACTTCTTCCATCTACAAGTACTGAAAATTCGAAATTGATTTTTGCAGTAAGACATTGCACATTATGGGCAACATCATTCGGTTATAATTGTATGGAACTAATGGAAGTTTTTGGAATCTGGAGGTTGGAAAATAACAGAACTGCAGAAAGCTGGAAAGTGAATACCATACCGGTACCGGTACCACACCTTGCAGCATCGTCCAAAACAATGAAGAATGGCATAAAATAAACCAACACTTCAGAATATCCAATATCAAAGTTAAAGAGGGTTCACTTCATGCAGCTCTTTGCTGGCATGGGGTTACAATTTTAAAGACAATCACAAATTCTTCAATTGCACGCGTGCCACAAAAGTCATCTTATTTCAAAGGCTCAAGTATTCATGTTGGATTTCTTGATTTCAAACAAGTGATGTCCTACCTAGCACTGAACAATGTTTTACAATTAAGCCATGCATACATATTGCTCACTAATATTTCAAATTGATATAACTCATTTCTTTTTTTTTATTATGAGCTATATCCTTACTCCTGTACTCAGTAGATATTATTTGGTGGTATTTTTTTTTCTTTTGACTGCCAATAATTTATATATTTTTAATCACATTTTCAACCACTTTACTTGGATTATGTGGCACTTAGGACACAAGCATATTTTAACTTTATTTTTGTCACTTATTTATTTTTGCTCATAGGTATTTCATTGTGTGAGTGTGTAATCGAACCTGCTTTTACTGTTTTGATAAATTCTTTTACATCTTAATGTTGCTTACCAGTATTGGTAGTTGTATGAATATTGATTTGGCAAATGGTTCCATTGTATATAGCTATTTTGTATTTTTTCCAGACACACTGCCCTAATCTTTTTTGTTGTGTTCACTACTAGTCATGCTTTGTATTTGCAGCTATTTCAAGCCTGTCTGTAGGCAACTATAGCACTTTATTTTTGTGCTTTTCGAACAACATCATTCCATGATGGCTAACATATTTTAAGGCCCTATTTCATAACCATAAGGAGCATGACCCCACTTACATAGCACTCTTATTGAAATTTGCTGTGTTCAATATTTGTTAGCAAACTTATCAAAGAAATAATCTATGAAATCAATTTGAAATTTTTTTAGTGATTTTGCAAATTTACACTTCATTTCCAATGTTCAAAGCTTCATGCTGCCTTTCATGCATGCATTTTTTTTGTTCTGGTTTGTACATTTGATAAATTATTGGTGAATGGTGATATTTTTATGTATTTGGAAGCAAGAAGTTTCCTACAGCTATTTACTTATTTAGCAATACACAATCTAGAATTCCAGACCCAGAGTTAAATATTTAAAATCAACTTCATTTATATACATGATATGTGGGGTAAATTCTGATGATTACCATAATTGGACGGAAGAGGTCGTCAGAAGTCTATTACATTTAATTTATCTACCTAAATTTTGTTATATTTTGTGTAAGTTGTCCACAGATCCCTTAAAAAGCATTGGATTTTCTGAATATTCTGAAAAAAATTGACAATATTCCGCCAGGATCTTATTTGGTAACCATGGACGTGACTTCCTTGTATACAAATATTCCACATAAAGATGGCATCTTAGCGGTGGAGAAGTATCTCAGTAAATATACCACAGAAAAACGGGAAATTCCATATATTAAAGAAGCAGTTAATATGGTTCTTGATAATAATAATTTTGTATTTGACGGAAAGCATTATCTCCAAATCAATGGGACAGCGATGGGAACTAAGATGGCTCCCAAATATGCAAACATATTTATGCAGACTTAGAGTCTGAGATTCTAGAAACAGGCAAGGTTAGGCCACAATACTATAGATACATCGATGACTGTTTTCTGATCTGGACACACGGCGAAACCGAGCTTATATCTTTTATAAACCATGCGAATTCAATACACCCTTCTATCAAGTTCACATTCGAATACTCAACGGAAAACATTACATTTTTAGACGTAAAAGTCCATATCATGGACAACAAATTGGAAACGGAAATTTACACTAAAGACACGGACTCTCACCAATATCTTTTACCCTCCTCATGCCACCCCAAACATATTACTGCAAACATTCCAAAGGGACTCTTCATAAGAATAAGAAGATCGTGCTCAAATGTCGAATTTTTTGACAAACATGCAGGAATTATGAAACGCTATCTCATGCAACGAAATTACGAAGAGACTTCTATTGACAAAACAATAAAATTGGTAAAAGAAATGAACAGAGATTACCTTTTAACACCGAAAAGTACAAAACAAGGTCAGCAACTATTGCCATTTATTACCAACTACCACCCAAACCAACCGCACTTTAGAAAAATATTTCGGACTACCAATATATTCTTGACAAACAATGCACGACTAAAAGAGATTTTCCCTCAACCTCCGAAAATTGCATATAGAAAGTTGCCCTACATTACGCGATAGACTGGTAGAGCTAAACTACAACCAGTAATATCACAGAAAGTACAATCTGGTTTTTATAAATGTAATAGAAAAGCATGCACCACCTGTAAATATTCCGAAGAAACAAAAATAAGTACCGGGAACGTGACGGGAGTCCATATAAACATTAACGAAAGAATAAGTTGTAAATCAAAAAATGTTATTTATCTAATAAACTGTAAGAAATGTGCGATGCAGTATATCGGCGAGACTGGAAGGTCGTTAAAATATCGTATAACAGAACATCTGAGAAGTATTTACGAAAAGGAAATATGATTTAGTAGTGGAGAACACTTCAACAAACTGGGACATTCAATAAGTGACTTTTCAGTAACTGGAATAAAAAAAACTATTCAGAGACCAGGGCTATCGCCAAACAGTAGAAGCATACTACATCAACAAATTCGGAACATTGGAACCACAAGGACTCAATTCACGGGGAAGAAATAGACTGTAGACTCATCTAGGAATTATTATTTAATAATAATTTTCATTTCAACGTCATATAATATTTAAATTTAACAATCACTCTTTTTCTTAAGTTTATATTATTACTCGCCCCTTGATTGGCGTTTTATTTTACTATTATTTTCAAGTGTCCCAAGTTTAATTTTAATTATAATTCGAAACCTTGGAGTTATGTGCTTGCGATATTTTTTAATTTTTTATTTTTATTTTTGTCCTACTCGAAATATGCTAGATGGTTAATTTATTAAATGTTTATGCATTGTTACGTCATACTTGATTTGATATTTTCAAATTCATTTAGCAAATTTATTTCTTGCCATTGTTGTAAACTGCTTGTCTGAGGAAGTCTGACTCTGGTCGGACGAAACGTTACAGAAATACATTTGTGTTAGTGTGCAGCTGGACTCTTTAATTGAATAGAATAGTCATGTTTATTCCAGCTACAGTATCCTTGCAGTATTCGCATACGGATCCACTAGCATAAAGGCATAGAGAAAAGATAGGAAGTTAGTCTCGCGCAACCCAACTCAAATTTATGCCCGATTCTGAATCGTGTTTTTTGTATTCTTGTAGTATTATTTTTTATTTTTTTTGGTGGGCGGGCGCGTACTTTTACGTTTTTTAACTTTATTTTAAGTTATGCTCGCCTTCCAGTATCTCTGCATTTTGTTTGTTTGTCCAGTTTTTGTGTTGTTTTGTTTTTATGTCAGAGTACCGAAATAAATGATTGATTGATTGAAGTTCAGGCCGCTTTCCGGCACACACAAAAAATGGCATTTACATATTTATCCCGAGGGAGAGCAGAGCCTACAAGACGGGTGAATCACATTGCAAACCACGGACTTTCGACCAGATACCTGACCATGTCGGGTATGCTATTACTTAGCCTGTTATTTATTGTTTTGATTTCAGATGCATGGATTTGATGATGGTGAAGGCCATAACCGACCAGCGGTTACGTTGACCACCTTGTGGCGCGAGGAGTCCAGCAATCCTCTGGCATCCTCGAACTTGCGAACCCACGCGGGGTAATCAGAATATTATTTTCGCCAGAAGGATATAACTTTTACTTAATTCAAAAATTTCTTTG